AATTTTAAAGTTCCATTTATTTTATGATTAATTTTTTTCTTGAAATAATAATTATTATTTATAGAATTTTATAATAAATGATTTATAATAGATTCGTTTACATTATTATGATGTTAAAGTTTAGAGGGAGTTAAGGGTTAAGTATGAATTTGTTTATTGTATAATTTTTTTGTTTTAAAAGTTATAGATTGTGTTTGTTTTGTTTACAATAACCCTGTATTCTGCTCTGGGAAGTGGGGGGGTAGGGGGGATGGGTGGGATTAAGTAGGTTAGATAAACAGAAATATTAATGTATAAAATAGGTAGAGTAATTTAGAGAGAGGTGCCGCTCGGGTATTTCCCCTAAACTGTATCCGAAGAAGGATGAGAGGGGAGGAGGAAGGGATGGAAGGAAGTAGGATGGGAGGAAGGGATGAGGGAAGAGAGGTGAAGAGAGGAGAGAGGAAGGAGGGAAGGAAGGAAGGAAGGTAGAGAGGGCGGATGCAGTCGGGGGGGGGAGATGGATGAGCGACACCTAAGGTTACATGTATGAATTTATTTCAAAGGTATTTTTATAATGTATTGAAAGTATTAAATGTATTGAAAAATGAAAAATAAAATTTTTTTCAAAAAAAAAAAGATTCCAAATAGCCAATGATTTTGATCTAAATAAACAGCACAATGTATGTTGAATGTATTACTTTTCAGTTGTTTTGGCAAATAATACTCTTTTTGTTGTCTTTCAAAAATTTTTAAAGTATAATTAATTATCTGTAATTAAGGAAACTATCCTATTTACCACCTATGTTTTCCAATAACAATATTTACCTCCCATTTTAAAATTTGTTTTATTCCAATTGGTCACTTCCTCCAGGGAGCAGGGATCAAATATTAATTTTTCACTCAATATCAAATGATTTTGACCACCTAAATGACGGAAATAAAACCCTGTTTCACTTAAAACCAAGCATGAGTCAAGATTTCAAAGGTGCCTAATAACAGCTTTCTGTAACAGTACATTTTGTTCCAATACATTTACTATGTATTCCAATTAGGTACTAATCCTTAAGTATCTAGATGGAATTACTCCTATTGTACATGAAATAACATGATCAGAGGACACTAAAAGTAATTCAGGGAAATAACACTATATCCTCTTAGAAACAAGACAAAAAGAATGCTATAATATTGCCCAATTCCTATATTCAATTCTAAATTAGATCTGTTCAATGGTTTGGCCATCAAGACTGCAGTAACTACCTATGATTACTCTTTTATTCGTATCTTCTTTTCAACTTGATACATGTTGGTCCTGACAACATATTTTCTGTAACTGGAGGGATAAGTCATGTTAGCTGTTTAACAAAAATAAGACAGTCATAAATGGTACTATGTGACCGCAATCAATTCCTTCTGCCATTTTATTCACATTTATCTATCTGCACTACATGAATGTCTAGATTCTTGCAACCAGAGAACCCATGGAAAGGGGAAGGAGTCAGCCAATACCATCTATTGGACCAAATATATCAAAAAGTACATTTAGCATATACAAATACATAACAAATTAAACAATTATTTCATTGTTACCTCATGCTTCTCAGTACTAAATTAAATATGCCTGCCATAAACACCTGAAGCATTTATTTAGTGGTGAATATTTATCCTCACAATACTGAGAAATGTTCCAATTAGAACCGTTACCTTCATCTACATAATTGCAAGTGGTAATTGCATCCTTGCTTTAAAGATTAGCAAATACATTTTTTTAAAAAACAATCTTTTGTACTTCCTAGGTAAACAGCTGGAAAAGTGTATCATCTTTTTAAATAGTTCAGCAAAATAATTATTGGCTCAAGCTATGATTGATCAGGAGTGATACAGACATTTATTTTTAACAGAATAATTTATCCCTTATGACACATATTACCATATGTCAATGCTATTTCCAGTATTTAATGAATTACTAGAGTATAGGAAGCAGACACATTTTGGCATTAAGTAGCAGCTGTTTTAACAGATAGCAGCGGTCCTATATCTTTAAGTTTTAAAACAGGATGGCAAAGAAATAGTGTTATTACCTTGTCAAACTTCAACCACATTTTGTAGCATCTTCATTTATAGTCCAGGTCACAATGAGACAGAATGCATGCACTTTGTAAAATCTTTGTAAAATCTTCCCAGCTGTCTTCCATATATTTGTACATCAATCATATCAGAAACTATTCCAGCTCAGGGCAGGGGGAAATTCCCACTGGGATTACAATGCAGTTACAATACTACATAGCCATAAGGCAACCTATTTAACAGTGTCAAAATCCCTGCCAAAGCAACTCAGAAGCTTTCATTTCTCAAAGACCCATAGCCAGAGATCAAGCTGCACAAATAGAACTATCCTTCCTTCCTTCCTTCCTTCCTTCCTTCCTTCCTTCCTTCCTTCCTTCCTTCCTTCCTGTTGAGCAATGTTTTAGAGACCACTACTGCCTGTATTTATTTTCTCATCTTACTGAATGAGGTTTTGCAGGGATGTTTAGTAAGATTGTGTTGTAATTCTTTGTACCTTACACCAACATTAATTAATTAGATTTGTGCCCATTCATACTACTACATTTTATGCAGCATATCATCCAATACAAAAGCATGCAAATTATGTAACTGAACTTATTTAACATTAAATGATTTTAAAAGGATTAAGAGCTAAGTTTAAAATGATTTCTAAAAACCCAACAAGTTATCTATTACTCTACTGGTTTGAAGTCAAAAATAAATACATTTCCTGAAAACAGTTGAATAGAATATTGCCTGCATGTGTTATATCTAACACATTTATTCATATTCACTGGGGTGCCATCACTCACATTTATTTACATTTCATCTTTCCATCCTAATATTTAATAATATTTTAAAATGTCAAAATTTTCAAAAACAAAAGAAAAACATTTTAAAAAATTAATATAAACTATTATAAAACAATTCAGAAAATTTGGCTGAAAAGACAGTGGAGAAAGTGGGGACAGACACAAAGTCTGGAATGTATTCCACTGAAAGGCAGGTAGGAAAAAGCCCACTTCCTACATGTAAGAGAAATGGCTATACAATCAGGATCATCTTCAAGAGGACTCTCCCCCTATATAACTTAATACTTGAAAAGCCACCTCTCTGATAGCCAGCTCCTAAACATCAAGAGTTGAGCAAGTCATGATTCTGATGCACATTTTAAGTTCAAAATATCTATTTTGAATTTCAAATAGATTATATCTGCCTCTCTAGAACAGAGATCCCCAACCTTTTGGGCACCAGGGACCAGTTCCATGGAGAGAGATTTTTCCATGGACCGGAGTGGGCATGGCTTTGTGTGCTATCTGCATCCCGCGGATGGCGCTTTGCTTGTTTGTGCAGACTGGATGCTGGCATGCCAGACCGGTACTGGTCTACCGACCAGAGGTTGGGGATCCCTGCTCTAGAACACAGGATTCTCTTGTTTCAAGCTTAGAACAGCATTAGAATGCTTCTGGTGAACCCATTTTGAACCCGATACAATCTGTTCAAACAAAATATTTTTTAGTAGTTTGTATACTATTATTTGACAGTATCAACCCTAACTTAGAACAGAGATCTACTATGAAAGTGTTCTTACAAAATAGCATTTAAGGTGGCCATCTTTCATATACACTATTTTCACTAGTAGTGAAAGTATATGTTTTATCTGTGAATAAATATTTTCAGATTCAATTTCTAAAATGAACGAAGTCCTGGGAATGAGACTTACTGCACCTCATTACTGGTTCGTGTAGGAGCTTGCCAATAAAAGTACACAAAATATGAAATGTCAGGTAAAAGTCATAGCCAGTAGTTCTGTCAGATGCTATGACTACCAGCCTAGAAACTCTTTCTAATCCTATTTTGGTAATATTTACCTACTTAAGTTTTTTGATTGATTTCTGATTATATGCCATCAAGTTGTTTTCAACTGGTATAATGAAATGATTATTCAGAGCTCAGTTGTAGATAAGATTGTGTGTTAAAAGCATACAGTAATATATTAAAGCTGATTACAAGGTAATTATATAAAGTTTACACATAGCAAAAAGGATACAATTGCCGAATGAAATTTTGCTATTATCTGTTGATTTGTAATGAATTTCATAAAGATACCCTGTGTTCTACCTGAAAATAGTCCAAATACAGAAGTTTCCAACTTATCCCCATTTACCACAAAATCCAAACTGAATAAAATCAATATCTGTTAAATACCATGGTATTTGGTTCATAAAGCTGGCTGTTCCTGAAATCAGAGCTCAAAAGGAGACAAGTAGTCTCTTTGTACATTGACTTGTCCAAAGAATAGCTATCAAACTAGGCCCTTTTTATTCTAAAATCAGATTTTATTCTTCAGAATTATAATACAACTAGCCGCACTTTATTTGTTGCAAATACGAAACAACATTCCTTGCAATGTATTCAATGGCAGACTGCAGTTATCTTTCAGCTTCAGGAACTCTCAACTTTTAATTAAGCAGTTAATTAATAGTACCTTTGATCATGCCCATAGCAATCCTGCCAAACCATCTTTATACTAATGTCAAATTAATAATTCAGAAATATTTTTTCCTTGTGTATGTGGATTGTTTCAGAATGTGGTTCATAAATTGCTGTAACTAATTAATTGTACCTCAAAATCCCATTTTGAATCTGACTTTGAAACCAGTTAATCTAAACAGAAACAACTGTACAATGCATCTTTACATCTTTCAGCATTTCATATCAACACAAAGCCTGTGATTGAAATTCTCTAAACCCTCCATACCACTCTTAGTGGATGACAGTTTATTGGAAATATGGAGAAAAAAATAATTTCCTCTCTTGTCATATCAGCAAAAATATATCATTGGACTCTATCCACCTTTTTTGTGGATTTTGAAGTAGATCATAGAAGCCAGGAACCCTCTTTAGAATTATATATCTGATGTTCTAAATACTTTAAAGCATGGGAGATATTTATATAATTGAGAGTTACTTACCTGGATCAAATTCCATCCTATTAAAGATTCAGCAATGATGGATGTTACAGTTGTACATACACCACCAAAAACCATTAGATGTGTAGGTCCATATTTTATTGCATCATAGAAGGCTTTAAGACCCTTTGCATTGTCACACTAGGGAAAACAAACAAACAAAATCATATGTAATTTAATAATAATTTTTCTCTTTGATATTTAAGGATTCCCATAATACCATAATTGAGGGAAAGTGGTCAGCAAGCAGTGACTATTATACTAGCTAGTTATTTTTTGATTATACTAAATGGCAACAGCCTGCTCTTCTATGCTTTAACAAAAAAAATTCTTTACATCATATATAGCATGATATGTAAAGAAAATGTCTATCAAAATCTGTGTTCTATTTTAAAATGTAACTTGCACTTTAGCCAAACTACTTATTATTGCTATTTCATAACAATATTCCTTACATTCTATTTCTGCAACAGATCTATTGTTGTATCACTATTTAGATACGTATATAAGTATTTATATATTGTTCTTCAACTTCTCATTTAACTCCACTCCCCCAAAATATTCAGTAAAGATAATAAAGCAGCAATGAAACACCTACATTAAAAGAAACAACACCGATCATAAGCAAAGCAACATCATGTATATAAAGAAATAATTTTAAATCTTTCTGAAGACTAGGTTTAAGACAAGGGAAAAGATAATGAAAGATCCTTTTCTAATGCTTAGGGGTTATCACTGTCCCATATATTCAACAATTTCACCTTTCACAGTGATAGGACACATGACAGAAGTTTCTGAATTGGCAGAAAAACTATGAAGGAGTAGACAGTCTCTCATTTAGCATGCCCCAAACTTCATTCACACTAACTAATATCTGAATTGGTCCAAGAAACCCGAAACAGTCACATAGAGAGGTTCTGTTAACAAACTATGCTTAGAAGGAGCTGTAGTGAAAACCAACAACAGACACAATTCAAACCCAAATTCCTAGTGACTGCTTTACATGCAGAAGTGGTGCTTCATCCCTGCAGTGCAAAGAGGCTTCTTTTACAAGCCAAGCCAACCAACTCAGCTAGTATTTTAGCAGAAGATATGAAAATAATAAATAAGTTAAATAAATACATAATAAGAAAAGAAAATATGTTCCTTATTTGAAGCTAATAATGGGAAGCTACCCATTGGTGGGAACTTCTGATGTGTCAGTCTCCCACTTTTTAATGGCCATTTGGGTCATTTTTTTCTCCTCACAAAACGGGTGTGGGATATTGATTTTTCCACTCTACAGTTAACCAGCAGGCAGTGGAGAAGAAACTGACCCATTGAAGTAGATTCTTAGCAACCACAAAGTGGCAGCATAGTTGCAACTGAAAAAGTTTAAAGGCTGGAACATTAACTGTTGATGGTTGTGTACTGAAGCTAAACAAACTCCTTCCTGCTCAGAGCCTACACATTGCTGGAGTTAAGTCAGAGACTAGCTGAAACTGATTTTTCAGAAACATATTAGATATACTCTTCACTAACTGGATACCCCCAGTTTACCTTTCCCTTGTTAACTGCTATTAACTTGCATTACCAGCTACTGTATTTTAAAGTATCCCTATGTTAAAATGCCCATGTTTCCTGAAAATAATCTATTTAACTGTTCCTTGTAACAAATATTGGTTTCAAATAAGTTATATATATAATCTATATATACAATCTGAAATGTGCCTTTTCTACAGTGGAATTTACAAAAAATAGAGATTTTTCTATACAAACATAAGGATTCCAAGGGCATTTATTGAAAACCATGAAGTAGAAAGAAAGTGATATTAGGTAAGGCAAATAAATTACCCACTCCTCAGATCCACTTTCCCAGAGGAAATAAACGGTTAGTCATTAAATATTTATTCCCAAAAATATTGATTATGGCACGAAGAGATGGAACCAACACTAAAAAACAAAGTGGCTGAGAGGTAATACGGGAGAAGACAGTAATACAGTACATTAATGGTAATTTTATTCAGAGAACACAGCCTTTGTGCAGTCAAATTATGATGCTCAATTCAATCAATAGTTCTGCTGCAATAATCATATGATTATTGAAATTTGCCTAAGTCTACCTACAGGGTTACATTTCTGCCCTTTGTAGGTTTGCTTCTGCTAATTCTGGTATTGTAAGTAAATAAGATGCCTACTACAAGTGATGACTGTTTTCTGAAACAAATTCTAAAAGGAAACTTATGCCACAATTTAGTATTAGCAGTAGGATAGAAGGAAACACTGAAGTAAAAGCAATAGCACTTAGACTTATATACCTCTCCACAGTGCCTTATAGCACTCTCTGAGTAATTTACAATGTCACCTTATTATCCCCAACAATGTGGGTCCTCATTTTACCAATCTCGGAATGGAAGATTGAGGCAACTTCAGTCGGTCAGGATCGAACCCCTAGCTCTGAGCAGAGTTAGCCTGCAATACTGCATTCTAGCCACTGCGCCTTCACAGCTCCTCATGGTAGCTCTTTTGTAGCAAGAATCAGCCATTATCTGTTGAACCATTATCATTTTCTTTTGTGTCAACTGGCAACCACTAGCAACCTGTAATTTATTCCATTCTGTACTTTTCTTTCTATCTTGCTCATGGGAAGTGTTGCGTCTAGATATGCAATGGGGGAAACCCCAATAGCTTGTGGGCCCACGAGTTCCATCCCAAGTTTTTCTTTGAGGACTGGCCATGGCCAGGGTTCTTTTGAGTCAGGGAGTGCTTGCTCCATAGTTGAATGAGCCTCTGTATTTCCAACTGATTTTTTGGACACATTTCCAACAACAAATAGGCACAACATTTCCAAAAATTTGATCCAGTGAATTAAAGGTTCTTTAGAGGTTTGGGTATCTAGCCATTCTTGCCTAGACATCATAATGCAATCCCCCTAGTGACAGGTTCAGCAACATCAGTCTCTTCCTGTACCAGTGTGCCTCATTATTCCTGATGCAGGACAGCTCCTGCAACTCCTCCTGCAGGCCAACATATCTCCAGCAGATAACCATACTTAATATTCCTGCCAGTCTTCTTGGACAACTTTCAGAGTAGTTGTTTTGGATTAAAAATGGACCCTACTTCCTTCTCCAGGGAACTTACTGGGAATAAGCCACCTAGACAAGACTATTAAGTGCACTACAGTCCAGATCCAAAATGGCTCAATTTCTTTTCATTCCACAAAACTTTCCAGGACTGTATGCTTTCATTACTGTTGTCCCCTTGAATATCCAAATATTCAAGAAGGATTTTCTACTGCAGTTCCTGTTTCCTGGATTCAAGAGAATATAATAAATTGGAGCACACTTTTTCCTAAATTAAGAGAAAGCCTGGTGAGTTTTATCAGAAATTAGTTCAGTCAGTTGCCATTCACAATTAACTGGGTGACATTAAAATGCTACTTTCTGATCACACCCTAGGCAAAAATAGGCTCTGTCTTAGAGAATATCAGAACCACCTCTTAGAATCTAATACTGCCACAGTTCCTGCCCAAAATGATTGAGGTAGATTAAAAACATACAGTAGAACACATCAGAGACCATCCTGAAGATTGGTTTGCTTGCTTTTGTACTGCATTTTATCCCTATTCTGGAGTGAATCTGAATGCCTTTGCCGATTGCTCATTAGCTGCTGGGATTATTTTTAGGGGACTTCCACCTGAAATCAGCAAAAGGCTTATCAGTGCAATCTTAGATTAGAGAAGATGACCTAGTTATTTTAGTGGATGCTCATATTCAAATACAGGGCAAAATATTTATTTGTTAATAGACATTGATACAATCTATTCTATTTTGCAAATTTCTTCTTTGCTCAATGTTGTCACCTATGGAAATTCTATTTACATGAGGAGGGTATGGAAAACTTCTGCTCCTTAGTGTCTTTCTGTGAGGATCTACTTACTACTGAACATATCCTTAGTAGTTATATTCTTTTAAACTTCCTGGATGGGACTCTTATACAAACAAGAATGCTACAATTTATTGCACTTGAGATAAAGTTTTATTTGGACTTGCCAGAAAAAAAATCATTGCTGAGTATTTTGTTAGTCCCCACTATGAGAAGGAAAGAGAAGGTCAATCAGGTGGCCAACTGGAGGATCTTGCCTTTTGTAATGTGGGTCTCTTGAAAGGAGTCACCCTGATCAAAATTAAGATCTCTTCCTCCATCCCTCCAATTATCACAGGTCAACTGATAAGGAAAATCATTGGTGTTCTTGCTTAACCATTAGGACAATATGAATTATTTATTTGTTAGATCATTCAGATTAATCAGTCAAATAGAGGCTTTTATTTTCCACATTACATACTGTGACAATCATATTAACAAGTTCAAAATACACACATTAGCAAGGAAAAAAAGTCTTTCACATTGGTTGTGAATGTGTTTGAAGTATATTAATGCATATTTACATTTTACTGTCTTTAAGCCAAGAATATGCCATTTAATTTTACAAGCTTATCAAGAGAAAAAGAGTACCTTTTCACAATCTAAAACTGCTTTGAATAATTATTTCATCCATATAGAAATGTTGTGATGGAATAGTTTAAATTTAAATGTTTTAAATTTGGATATAGACCACAAGCACTACATTAATCTATATATGCATATATTATTGCATTTATGGAACCAGCTATATCACGTTGAATATAGAACTTAGAAGCAGAAATTATTTGAGATCAAATGGTGGGAGCATGCATTAATACAATATTGTGCGATAAATACTCACAATAGGAAGATTTGACATTGGATTAAGAATGCAGAAGAAACATGTCTATTGCAGCAATGACTAGCATACCTAAAGATATCGCCTATGCAATGAATATTATATTTTAAAGAAAATGATATTTAGCATTGAGTTTTTGGATGGGTTAATACTTCCTGCTGGTATGCAATCTGGAGTCTTCCTGGAGGTGCAGCACCTAATTGATGAGGTGTCAGCTTTGCATACATCTAGTGCAGTGTTTCCCAAACTTGACAATTTTAAGGCATGAGGACTTCAACTCCCAGAATTCCACAGCCAGCAACGCTGGCTGTGGAATTCTGGGAGTTGAAGTCCACATGCCTTAAAATTGTCAAGTTTGGGAAACACTGATCTAGTGTGCCACTTGTGCCCTTTCCTAGAT